CGCCCTGTCTCATGCATCGAACCTGGATTGGCGATCTAGTTCACATATGATGATATACATGTTTCGATGCTATTCTCTCAAATCATTCCACCTTCACCTTCTCCCACAGAGTCCAAAAGTCTATTCTTTACATCTGTGTCTCTTTTGCTGTCTCACATATAAGGCCATCGTTACCATCTTTCTAAATTCCATATATATGCATTAGTATACTGTATTGGTGTTTTTCTTTCTGACTTACTTCACGCTGCATAATAGGCTCCTGTTTCATCCACCTCATTAGAACTGATTCAAATGCATTCTTTTTGATGGTTGAGTAATATTCCATGGTGTATATGTACCACAGCTTTCTTATCCATTCGTCTGCTGATGGACATCTAAGTTGCTTCCATGTCCTGGCAATTGTAAACAGTGCTGCAATGAACATTGGGGTACACGTGTCTCTTTCAATTCTGGTTTCCTCGGTGTGTATGCCCAGCAGTGGGATTGCTGGGTAGTATGGCAATTCTATTTCCAGGTTTTTAAGGAATCTCCACAGCGTTCTCCACAGTGGCTGTACTAGTTTGTATTCCCACCAACAGTGTAAGAGGGTTCTTTTTCCTCTGCACCCTCTCCAGAATTTATTGTTTGTAGACTTTTTGATAGCAGCCTTTCTGACCAGCATGAGATGGTACCTCATTGTGGTTTTGATTTGCATTTCTCTGATAATGAGTGATGTTGAGCATCTTTTCATGTGTTTGTTAGCCATCTGTATGTCTTCTTTGGAGAAATGTCTGTTTAGTTCTTTGGCCCATTTTTTGATTGGGTAGCTTATTTTTCTGGAATTGAGCTGCAGGAGTTCCTTGTATATTTTTGAGATTAATTCTTTGTCAGTTGAGAAGCATGGTACTTTTCTATGGGATTAAGGGGCTTAGGGAGAGCAGGATAGGCCATGGTACTTGTTTTCTTTCTGAGCAGATGCCTTAGAGCAATGGATGTTGGCTGGTATGCCTCATGCCATTCCCATATGTGATGGTTTATGTCAATGAATGTGAGATTCATTCTTGTTCCAACTACTGTCTGTCAGATGGAGCACGGAGCTGCATGGTCATGCAATGGGATAGGGAGGGAGAGCAACATGTGACTGGGGAGAGGATGGAGGAAAAGGATCAAGGAAAGAGCTGTGTTTCCTGGCACATATGAGACTCTGGCATCAAGAAATTTTAATAGTGCTGACCAGGGGAGGAAGAGATGTGCCAGTCACTCAGCATTGAAGGACAACCTCGTCAGCTTGAGAAGAGCTGTGGGAAGTCTTCCTTTCTGAACTTCCTGAAACAGGTATTGTTGTGTTATTAACGTTCATCTTTTAATTCCAGCAATCGGTTTTAACTTTCAGGACTCTCACTAGCATGTATCCTCTTGACTGCTGGGGGTAGCTGGGAGCCGCAGGATGTTCAGGGAGAAGGGAATGCCAGGTTGCCATAAGGAAGCTTTTCTGGTAAGATGTTAGAGAAATCGCAGAAGAGAGGACTCAGATATTTAAGATTCCAGAACCTGGATCTACCACTGGGCTCAGCCTCTCCCCGACTCCACATCCTCCCCACCTCGTCTCCAGGTTTCACACACCTTTCCAACTATTGTCTCTTAATCTGACTTTGTGTACACCATTACTGTTCTTCATCAGCCCCAGGCTGATAATTGAGGGTCAGTTTGGTATAAAAACTCTGGCTTATAGAACCTCAGGAGGGGCACAACCTTGAGTCTACTTACACCAGAGAGCATTTCAGACACTTTCCCTCTAAGGTGATCCCAGGACCCGCGACAAGCCCGTAGGAGCTACCCTGGGTGCCTGGCAGCTAGGAGCTGCAGAAGGTTGTACACAGCAGTCATTCTTCCATATCCAACTGCCAGGACCAGAGCACACTTGAGTACAGAGCCCCGAATTCCCATCCTGGCTCCTCCTCTATGTCAATTTCCTTGGTTGTTTAGTTTTCTTACAACTGCTTTTGAGGATCAAATGGGATGATAGAGGAAAATGATTGAACACATACAAGGGCACAGAGCACATTCTTTTCATGAAGGATATTATTTAAGTAGTGATTTGTCAGGAAGCATTTAACAAGAGGCTTCCTGTGTGCTGTTTTGAATCTGTCAGGAAGCCTCTGGCCCTTATCAATTCCTGAATATTCAGAAATTAAGAGGAGAGGCATGCCTTTCCCAGGGCTGAGGAATCCAGGCATTTCTCATTATGGTGATAAGTAGCCTCTTCCTTTTTATGAACCATAAGGTAAAAGGTGATTGTTTGCAACTCTCTCTTTGATAGGGATCGTCTTATGTTTTGTAAGTCTGGAATTTTAATCTTTATCTTTGCTGAGAATAACTACCTTGTAAGACAGTATATATGCCCACACCATGTTGATTAAAACACCTTTGCTCCATCAGAGCTTGGGTCCCCGTGTCTTGCTTTCTTTCTCTCCTCCTCTCTCTCTTTCAGGCTAATTCCTTGGAGTGAGGAGGCCCGCTGAGCTCACTTTCTTGCCCGGGCTTCTAAGACTCTCTCGAGAAGGCACACTGTGCCTTCACCCACTTGAGAGGGCGCCTGGTGCCTCCGTGCAGCAGTGTAAACTCTAAGAACAGGGCTTTCTTTATTGGCCTTCTGCGTAAACCAGGGGATATCAGCCTCTTTTTCTCTCTTACTTTCTTATCGTTGACTCCAGACCACCAGGTTCCAGTCCATGAAAGGACCAACAGTGACTAAATAATACATTTTACATATAGTTTATATATGATTTGATGGATAAATACTGTTTTTCTGAAGTTCTAACACTTAATTGCAAGGACATGAAGATTTGTGGTTCACTGTTTTTACTCAACTCTTAAAGCTCACATTTGGCATCAGATCGGTAGAGTGATGTTGGTTTGGTTGAGCCCAATTATCTTCCATTTTCTGCTTCTTCTCAACAAGTCTCCTGAAAGATGAGGAATCTTATCTTGGAGGAAGGACCTGTTACTGTAAGTTAGGAAAGACCTATCCTTCTTTTATTGAGAAAGGCAAGTTGATATCTTGGATTTTTCAATGGCAGAACTCATTTCAAATACTACATTATTTTCTCTATGAATACAGATATCTATGGAGAGTCTCCTGCCCTGAGTTTTTGGGTCAGGGATTATGGTCCTTACCATGTTCTGAACTGGTATAGAGATGATACTTTCAAGCCAATTCAAAGGCAATCCTATGTTCAGGAGACCAGGAAGAGGAAATTTTTAGTCCATCTATTTCCTGTGCATTCGTTCACTGCCTTGGGGAGTTTTCTGAGTAACTCTTTCACACTTAGAAATTTCAAGTTTCGAGGGAGCTTCATTCACACTAGATGACAGAGAATCTACACATCCATCGTGTAGCTAGGGAAAGTAATTGCTCCATCAACCTACTCTCACGGCCACATGCCATCTCAGTCTATCCTTGTTTTAAGAAAACAGTGTGGACAACCCAGGCTAGGGAGGGAAAATTCATTTAATGGCATTTAAAAGGAAACTGCTTGAGTCCTTTGTGGTCCTATCCACATCTTGTCAGCATCTGCCTCTGCCTCTCCAGGTGATAATTAAGCATTAGAAGCTGGCTGTGTGAACTCATCACCTACTCAATGAACATGAGTTTGAGTAAACTCCGGGAGTTGGTGATGGACAAGGAAGCCTGGTGTGCTGCAATCCATGGGGTCGCAAAGAGTCAGACACGACTGAGCAACAGAACTGAACTGTGTGAACTCAGGCAGCAGCTTTTAAAGAGGATCTGGATTTAAATGAAGACACCAGTGCTGTGTGGGTTTTGTGAAAGATAGCTGAGTTTCCTATCTAGTCCCTCCTCCTCCCAGGCAGCCTGGGCTTGGGATAGACACCTTCAGAGTGAATAAAAGGCCAACTGATTTACCAATTCTATTGGGATTGCCTTTAATTGGGGCTTTCTTTCTGAATGGGCTACCATGTAATGCTCCTATTTTCTTAATATGATGATTATTTAGCTAGAGGGAAGTTATTCAAAATGTATTAAAAACTACTTTAACCCGAATGTAACTGTAACCATTAAACTTCTAATATACCTGCTCAGAAAAGGGCCACATGCATCAAGGGACGTGAGGGAGACTTGGCTTCAATCCAAATTACCCAGTGACATCCAGGGTTGCTGAGATGTTCTGACGAGCATTGTCCCTCACCATTTCTATGAGTGCTCCTTTGAGGCTGGGAGTGTTACAAACACCGCCTTCCTGGAAAGAGGAGGACTAGTCTTTCAGTTAAGGGGATAGGATCTCCCTCTTCAAGCACTTCTCCAGAGGCTGTGATTAAAGTCCACATAATTGCTACTGACTTAATAACCAGGCAATGGGGATTTGGCGATAGAAAAGGCACAGTTCATATTCTGAATACATCTTAAAAGTATCCTGTTACAGACGAATAGAGCTTACTATACCCTTTGCCATAGTTATTAATACCTTATGTAATTCTCAGACTGTGAAGGTAAAGTGGGAATTATTGCCTTCATTTTCAAGACAAAGAAACAGAGAATTCTAAAGTCTTGCTCAGTGTTGCCCATTCAGGGCAAGAACTCAAGGCCTTTGTCTCTACAATTGCCAGTCTACTTTCCACCCCATTCCAGGAAGTCAGAAATGAGGAGGGCTTTTCTGAGCACCTGCAAGTTTATTGAGCACACCCTGTGGGCATGGCTTCAGGTATGCCAGGCATGTACAGAGAAGCTGATAGATGAGAGTTCATCTGTGTTTTCTTACTAAGAATCCCTTGGTGCTGATATAATCCTATTTATCTAATACCTGTAATTGCATGTTGCTTTTGAAAAATGTTACGGTGGCTTGTTTCACCACTTATTCTTCAACTGGCATCCTGGCCACAATTTTATTCACCTCCTCCCAAAGCTGTGAGTACTGGGATCAAAGAGGGAGACATCATCAGGGACACAAAGTATGGATCATCACCAGGGGTTCCAGACTCAAACGTGAAGGCTGGAGGGCGAAGTCAGAGAGAGAAATACACCTGGTGGGGCAGACAGTGAGATGGAGAATGTATTTTCTCCTAAAAGGACTGGTGCTTAGCACCCACTGGCAGTCACTTCGCTTCTAAATCAGGCTCAGGTAGCCAGATCTTGAGGTGTTTTTTCAAGATAATCTGGAAATCTAGGATTTTATGTAAATTCTCCTGATTGGATTATTAAATATTAATGGTTGGTTGAAACATTTTAAAATCTCTGTGAGTTAAAAACAAACATGACAACTCTCAAGTCTCTCTTGCAACCTCTTCTTCCTGTGGAAAGAAATAGGATATTTTAGGAGAAATGTGCACAGAGATGCATCCTGTTAGCAGAAGCATCTTTATTATTAGCAGGGTCCTGCATCTTTTCCACATTTATGAGAAGGACAAAAAGACAGAAAGGATTAACAAACTGATAGAGTCAGAGTGTAAACAAAGCTTCCAAATGATTGCTTTCAGCCAGCATCTCTTTGAATATCCACCCTAATACCCTTGAACAATAGCTTCCATCTTTCCCTAATTTCCAGCTTTCCCTGTTATCTACCAAGTTTAAGATGGTCTGCTTTCTTTCCACTTTTCATCAGAAAAATGAAAATTGAAGCAGTGGGATTGAAACTAGATTTAAGAAAGAAGAGACAAAGAGGTGACTGGCGATCTGATATAGGGTGCCTTCTGGGGAAAAGGTGCCTGGATGTTAAAGGTGGCCTATGACAAAATGAGAGCAGAAACAAGTCTATTTTTTGCTAGGTCGCCATAGGGAGCCAATCTAACCTATTTACAAGTGGTCTCAGGGGATATGTCTTTAAATAGCTATCTTGTCACCATCTTTTTCATCATCTTCCGTGATCACTTTGGGTCTCTCATCCCGGAGCAGTGTCACACCTGAAAAACAAAGCACAGATCTGCAATTAAGTGCCTCTAATTAAAATATGAGATGGCGGTTCGCAGGAGCATGGCAACCCAGAAAGGTTTTAGTGGCTGCAAAGCTAACAGCCAAAGATGCTGAGAGAGGGAGAGAGAGGGTGCTGAGTGGCCTTATTTGGCTTTCCCAGAGGAGCTGTGGCTCAATGAGAATACTGCTCTGCTTAGAAGAGATGCTCAGCCTGGGAGCCACAGGCAACCTTCACCCCCTTCACTACATTCTGCAATTATGCTTGCAGCAATTAGGATGGAAAACGTACAAATTTGGGAGTCTAACCACTTTGGATTTCTCATTCTACCACTCAATATGTACTGGGCCAGATTACACGTTCAGACTGAAATTTTCTTGTATGTAAAATGAGGGCATTAATACTTATATTAAGGGTTATGGTGACAATTAAATAAGAAGTATGAAATAATGCTTAGCACAGTGCTACACCTGTGAGCAACTTAGTGTTTCCTTTGCTTGCACAATTTGCTAGTTTATTTTCCCTTAGAAAAGAACTGGTAAACCTCATGAAGTCAAACTACACATATTTTACTAACATCTGGGGGAAGTACTGAACTGAGACTCTGAACATGCCATTTCTGAATGTCAGTGCTAGTAGATTGATAAAGTTCACGTGGTTTAGAGCAAAATGAGAAAACAAGAAAAACGCAGTGAATTTTTTCACACAGCTCTATGGCTCTAGTTTAAAATATTGTCCTTATTTTAGAAACAATTCTTTCTCTTATTTAAGGGATTAAAATATTCTTTCTTTTGTGAAATTTTAGAGATGTTTGATGGCTGTTTTGTCAGCATCCTCACTAGGCAAACTCAAAGTTGTGATCTCTCTATTAGAATCCATAATATCTTGCTTTAAAAGTTTACTGATCTGTGGAAATCAGAAGCCTGAGCACCCTTTTCTGGACTGCTCAACCCAGAAAAGGCCATTCAAGGTCTGGGTGGTTCTGCTCATCCTGTGAGTTATGAAATGGGGTCATTTTAATAAAAGGAAAGGGAGCTGTGATCCAAGGCCAGTCTTCCATGCTTTCTATCATCTCACTCCATCTATCAGCTTTGTTTTCCCACCACTGCCTTGCACAATCCCCCACCCTTTCTGTAATTAGAGACCTTTCTGTTCATGAAGCATTTCATAAAGATCTAAACTTGAGGGAGGAAAGCTGTGCACCACAAGAGGCCTTTTACAACACTGGACTCCATTCAACAGTGGCAAATTAATGAAAACTATGCTTTGATCTTAATGACTATTCATTTGATTCAGTCACTAGTTTGTACATATGGGTTCTTTACCAATTAGCTGATATTTATTGGAGGAGAAAAACAATTTTAGGAGTCTGGTTGAAACTAAGGCTTTTGCATAAATCACTTATGAAACACAGTGGGAGATATTTTCTCTTATACCAGCCACACAGAAGTTTGAATTTTTATTTGGAAAGTAGGCTCTCTTGGTAGGAGAACATAGTGAGCCATGCTGAGTTCCCAAGTATTGCATCCTTCCTTCCTTGAAATTTCTTCACATTAATCCAATTTTGGGTGGATTCAAAGTGGATAGTCAGTTCAGTCACTCAGTCATGCCAACTCTTTGCAACCTCATGAACCTCATGAAGCATGCCAGGCTTCCCTGTCCATCACCAACTCCCAGAGTGTGCTCAAACTCATGTCCATTGAGTTCCTCTCATCCTCTGTCATCCCCTTCTCCTCCCGCCTTCAATCTTTCCCAGCATCAAGGTCTTTTCAAATGAGTCAGCTCTTCGCATCAAGTGGCTAAAGTATTGGAGTTTCAGCTTCAACATCAGTCCTTCTAATGAATATTCAGGACTGATTTCCTTTAGGATGGACTGGTTGGATCTTTTTNTGGTCTGGTATTCTCATCTCTTTCAGAATTTTCCACCATTTATTGCAATCCACACAGTCAAAGGCTTTGGTATAGTCAATAAAGCAGAAATAGATGTTTTTCTGGAACTCTCTTGCTTTTTTGATGATCCAGTGGATGTTGGTATTTTGACCTATGGTTCCTCTACATTTTCTAAATTCAACATTCTGGTTATTTTTAATATCCTTGACACCAAGTTATACAAGCATCTGGGCAGGGAAAAAATTAAGTACTGAGATTTCAGGGAAGGGAAGAGGTCAGCCCTTCCCAAAGTAGGCTAGGCTTTCCACAGGGACACAGGAGATAATTTCAAATGGAAAGTGAATTAACATTTATTTTAATGTAGTTAACCATTCACTTTAATGTCTTATAATGAAAAAAATATGGTAACTTGTCACAGTCTTGATTTCATGGATCTCATTGCTAGGATGAGGCTTAAATCAGTAGCATCTATATGTCATCTCTATGTTCTTACTCTTGATGCTTCATTTCATTGCCTTTGGTCATTTAAAGATGAATTACTTTTGATAAACATTAGTCTGTTTTAACTGGCTTAACTCAATCATGATCCTCACATTTTCCTGTAGAAGCAAAGGTGTGTTATCAAAGCAATGTGTTTCAGAGCTGGAAAACTTTGCTTTCGGTGGCCATTCATTCAGTTTGGAGTAGGTCACTCAACCTGTGTGAATCTCAGTTTATTTATCTGTAAAATTGGAGAAAACATACTTTGTATCTCCCATAGGAGGTAATCCCATCAAGAAAGATCTAGTCCAACATTCTTCTTGGCTTCAACCACACTTTACATGGGGACTTCCTTGGTGGATCAGATGGTAAAGAATCTGCCTGCAGTGCAGGAAACCTGGGCTTGTTTCCTGGGTCAGGAATATCCCCCAGAGTAGGAAATGGCAACCCACTCCAGTATCCTTGCCTGGAGAATTCCATGGACAGAGGAGGCTGGTGGGCCACAGTCCATGGGGTCACAAAGAATCGGACATGACTGAGTGACTAACACTTTCACTTTCACACCTTACATGAACCTCTGTTAAAATGCTTTTCACTTTATAGGAATTGTTGGACAAGACATCTGTCTGCCCTACCAAACTGTGAGAGTCTCAGAGGATATTCTAATATCTAGCACAAGACTTGGAATATAGTAGGGATTTAGAAAATGTTGACTCTTTCCCTTCCACTCTTTCTGTAGGCAAATTTAGGGAACTTGGCTACTTCTCAGAACTTGATGTGCTTTTAAGGCTGAAGCTGTCAGTCCAAGACCTCTAAAGTGTCAATTAGCTCTGCAGCAAGCTGTCTTCAGTCATGATCCCAGCCAGAGCACCATCCAAAGGTGGTCACCTGCATCACAGATGTGTGTGGATCTAAGGCAGTCAGACCTAAGACACCACCGTTCCTGGTCAACCACACCAGAGAGAGTGCTCTATTCTAGGCAGGACAGAAGAGACATCACTTTCAAAGGACACGTCAGTCTCCTTTCTACAAGTACAATATTGAGCTTTGATCTCCAAGTGTTCACAGTTCATGGGTCAATTACCTAGGAGGCTTCTCTTCAAGACTTTCAGCCAAATTGTTCATTACTTTCTCCTGTTTCTTTTGCCACAGATCTCAACTAAAGATTTTTAAGCGGATCTTGGCTACTCAGATCTGACCAGTCCCAACCGAATGCTCCCTGCCCTGCAGCTCTTTGGACCTGGCAACCTCGGGTCACACTGAGAGCAAAGCTTGGGCTGGAGAGGAAGCCCAAGATGACTGCTTACTGCTCAGAGGAGATGTCTGGCAGTTGGAACCTGTCACAAACGCTCATTAACCTCCGGGAAAGAAGGTAGTTAGCTGGAAATTTAAAGGAGAGAGTGAATCCTTGTCCAGCCTCCCTTTGCCAAGGGCTAATGAGAGGAGAAGTCTCTGGAGAGCATTTTTCTGCGAATTCCTCTCATCATCCTTATTAAAACCAATGTGAGTCTCTCTAAACATCTGCTGAAGGCTCTATCCTTATCAGCTTAACTAACATTTCGATTACTGCCAAATCTTTAGATACTAAAAGGCTCTTCAAAAATAAAGTACTTCAGCTAATATGCTAATAAAAGCTGGAATCATAACACGATAATTGCAAATACTTGCAAGACAGAGATTTGCTGATTCAAGGAATTCGATAATGTGGATAGTCTATGAATACACAACAACCCCTCCTCCAACACTCCTGTGTACTCTGCACAGTTTGATAAACATTTTTTATTTGTCCAGGAAGCTTGTTCTCTTAGAATATCAATTTTGGGATGTAGGGGGCCTCCCCTGCCAGAGAAAGAGAGCTCAACATTTTAGGAAGTTCCTTGAATCAGCAGCTTTCCATGGAGAGGTAAAACACTGTGGCCAGAAGAATTCTCGCCTTTAGAAATGGTTTAGCATCTCAAAGAATATAATGTTGAAAAGAGGATGGAGGCGAACTAACGTTTACTGAAGACTTTCAATAAGCCAGGAAGTGTGCTAGGTGCTTTATAAACTTTATTTTAAGTTTGTTAACAATGTTGGGAGATGGGTTTTGTGGTTCTTCTTTAAGAGATGGATAAAATAAAGGAAGTTCTTCTAGTTTATGTTAGTTGCCCAAAGTCATTAAGCTAGAATGAAGCAGCACCAGAGATGAAGCCTACACCTTTCTGACTCCAAAGTCCATATTCAATGCTGTGTACTAAAGTAACTCTTTGCCCATAAACAGTTTTGTTCCTCTTCCAAGACTTCCCTTAGAAGGACTTCAATAAAAGTAAATACAAGAATGAGCAGAAAATAATCAGTATCCTAATGGAGAAATGCTGAAAAACGCTTGAAACGCTGAATCACGACTGCCGAATATAATACCAAATCAACAGATACTTAAGGAGTGGGGGCTACATGGGAGGGACTGGACCAGTTATCAAGGTCAATTCCAGCAACATAACGCAATCCCAGGCCATTTCTAATGACGTCATCAAAAAAGTCTTCGATGTAAGTCAATTAAATAACAGCCACAGTAACAGCAACAAGAAAGATAAGGACAATACTAAAAGAGAGGGCAAAGTCTTGGTATTTGCACACCCAGCTCCAATTTAAAAAGAAAAAAAAGGTTTAGAATTAAAAAGATTCATTCTGGACTTGGAGGTTGTCTGTTGGTAGAGACTTAAAGCTGGCTGTTGTAAAAGGTGACTAGACGTGGACAAAGGCAGAGCTTGGAGGAAACATGTGAAGGATTTGAGCATCAAGGGGGCAGGTAGGGATGCATAAGAACCTATAAGAAGCATGGCTAAGGTAGATTCACAGCCTACGGATGGGTCCTCAGTCCATTTCTCCAGACAAGTGCTTCCTCATGCTTCATGCCTCTTTCCTGGCTCTTCTCAGAAATCAGTGACCCTGTCTGCTTCCCTGATTGCCTTTTCATGATGTCTTCTGAGCCATCTTTCAATTTTGTTATTAGATGAAATCATGGGAAAATACAGTCTTATAATAATGACTAAATCTCATCGTCTCCCAAAAGTGTCTCTTCTGGATTGCTATAATGCTATAGGTCCAAACCATAGCATGATAAAATGAAAAACTGCTCACAGATGAGACAAACCTGGATTGGAGCCCCAGTTATGTCACATAACAGTGTGTGATCATGAGCATGATTTGATCCATTCATCAGTCCTTCTAATCATCGCATCATCAGTTAGCTAATCAGCTATCCATCCATCAATTTCATCAACAAAAGATTTTAGAGTAGCTGTTACTTAAATCCTCTCTCAATTTCCATATCTGTAAAGTGAGATGATATCTACTTTACTGTGTTATTCAGTTGATTTTTTGAAAATCCACGAGACATGCCAAATCCAGTACCTAACATTTAGTAGGCTTTCAATAAACATTAATGCATTTTCTCCTCTGCCATTCTCCCATCCCAGACTATCTATATAAAACAAACACACACACTCCCATCTTATACTGTGACACTGTCTGTACTCGTCTCATTCCCCAATTTCCCAACTTGTACCTAAAATTCTCAGGGACAAGACTACCTCATACACTGGCTGCCCTGTAGTGTGGGATTGTGCCCATAGTTCAGCAAGATTTTTTGGTTTGATTTGACTCACATAGAGAAAGCTATCATTATTTTTGCAGCTTGCTCTCTCTCTCTCCCTCCCTCTCCCCTTCTCTCTCTTTTTTTGAGGGTTTGGTCAATATATCCAGGTGTTTTGGGAGAATCAACCATCAGTCATAGGATGCAAGATCCCTGGGTGACTGGGGACGAGGGTATTTACATTCTTTTCAAGGACCCACTGACATTTCTATTTTATTGACTCAGTGGTTCTGACCAGTTCTGCTGAAGCATGAGTTATGCTCTGATCCTCACCCAGCTCCAAGTCAGCCCCAGAGAAACTGCCAAGGAAGGCAAACCTGAGAGGCAGCAGTAAATACTCCCCCCGTGAACATTCCTGCGAGACACAGACTGCTGGGCCAGGGCAAAGGCTGTACCTGTGGCGCTCCCGATGGTAAGGCTCTTGACCCGTTCCCAGCACCCCTTGCAAATGCCCTACACGAGCTCTTTTACCTGCTGCAAAGGGGGACACGTGCAGGGCAGGTGTGTCTTTTCTCTTTGGCTTTTTCTGTTCCAGGTCAGTGTTATGAAGAACTGGACTCATTTTGCCCTTTGGATGCATGTCTTGGACATTGTATCTTGTAATTAAATGTTCTGAAAGGACATCTGCATAGTTAGGAGAACAGAGGGAGAAATAGGGTCAAACACATATGTCTCAGAACACAAGGATAGTCTGTCCGTATTTACACATGCACCTGGTGATGTGCAAGCAATAATCAACTTTTCAAATATCGTAATAAAAGCAGTTTCTTTATCACAAGAATTCATATCCATGGAGGCTATACTAGATAACATGCTTTATACAAAGGGTTTTACATGACTGATTTCATTTTAGCCTCACAAAACCATGAGGTTTTTAATACTACCACTGTTACTTTGCTGAGGAAAGTGAGGCAAAGATGTGCTGGAGGAATTACCTGAGTTTTGTCTGCTGCCGAAGCCTACCCTTGTTAGAATGATGGGGCATTTGCTGTTCCATAAGCTACCTGCTACTATGTTCTTCACTGGCTTAACTAGTTCTCTCCACCATCTGCCTCTTCTCCCCTCTTCTACACGCGATCGTTCTCTCTGTTATGCAGAAACTCTCTAAAAACAGCCTCCTCTAGAAAACAGTCTACAGTTCATAGCCCAGACTGAGCTCCCAGGGTCCTTATCTGAGGCCTTCCTTTATGATGTTATCTCTTACTGCATATTTCAGCTGGTTATGTGTTTCTCTTATCTCTGTTTTATAAAACAGAAAGTTTCTTTCCAGAAAGGAAAAGTTCTGTTTCTTTTGTCTCCCCAAGAGTAGGTTGTGAATAGAGAGGACATTAAATAAATGGCCTGGAAGGAAGGGGTAAGGGAAATAAGACAAAACTTTTGGAAACAAGAGAGTGTCACAAGTCACATGCATGGTTTTCACAGAGGCTCGTTAGCTGTTCCCAAGACTGTTTTGTTCTTCTCCTGGCTCAGACCTGGGCTGCGTTTCTCAGCCCCCCTTGCAGTCGGGTGAGGAAGTGACTGAAGGAAGTATGTGTGCCTGCCAACCCCTACCTCTGTCTGCCCTGGGTCTGCTGGATGCCCGCGCCTCGCTGACTTTAGAAGCCAGGTGTTGATGGTGCCATTGTCCTGAGTCCCTGAATGGCTGGAGCGAAGACTGCCTCTCCACTCCCCCAACGTCCACTGATGAGAGAGAAGCAAACTTGTTTGGTGTTGTCCACTCATATTTTAGAATGTATGTGTTATAGTGACCCTCCTTAGAGTAACTAAGACAAATGCAGAGACTGTACCCATGATTGAGAAATATCGAACTATTTAAGGGAAAAAAAAGTAAGATCCATGCGGTCTAGAAGGCAGGGGCTCCCTTTTACAGATGTGCACACCGACCTCGGTGTCCATTACCTGGTATGAAAGGCGGGACGTGCAGGGCCGGTGTGTCTTTTCTCCTTGGTTTTTTCTGGTCTGACTCAACATTCAGGGTGACTTGTACATTTTTCCCCTTTATAGGCTTCTTTTTGAGATCACAATCCTTAATAAACTGGTCTGAAAGATCATCTGATTTTGACAAGATACAAAGAAAAAAAAAGAATACGACATGAGCAAGGGTTCAGTCACAGACTGGTTGGTTTACAGTTAAATCTGATGGGAGGGAGGAATCTTTTGTTCTGAGAAAGAAAAGCGTTTATTGATTGTGGCGTCTTCTATGAGAGGACTTTGCATGTGTAGATGTATGCAATAAAAGGAAAACTAGAATTTTGTAAAACTCCAAATGAAGGGAACTCAAATGGGATGGATAATCAAGGCAAAGGAGAACTTTAAAATACACTTAAGCAAGCCACAGAGTGGGTTTAAGTTACATTTCAGACTGGGGAACAGGTTCTCTGTGTCAGAACGCTCCTCCTGGATTTTCTTTACTCAAGCCTTGCTCTCTTTGGAGGGCCCAAGGGCCGCTAGGGAGCCTTATTCTCTCTTTGGTCTTGCAACAGGGTTCTGTCTATTCCTCACAGCTTTCATTTCGATGGCTGATCAAGTCACACCAATGATGAACGCTTACACTTCAGCACTGGTCTTTACACTGCCCCCTGGCTTTACAATTCTATTTACTTATCCCAACCCAGGCCCTCTTATCTTCTTATTCCTTACACTCCCCACTCCCCTGCATTACCTCACCAGAGCCTTTGAAGTCTGGATTCCGCATCAGGTCCATCAGATGTCACTGTATACAATTAATTCTATCTGATACCCTCTCTTGCCCAGTAAGATATTTTCTCCGCTTTGTCTTACTCCTCTGTGCTCTGGTTTCTGTGCCTATGCTTTGAGCGCCTCTGTTGTTTTAGCACTTCATTCCTTAATGATCTATCTCCTGAGCTGGATAGAGCCTTCTTAGAGATTAAAGGTTATATATCCTTTCGATAATTTTATTCTTAGTTGTTTTTCCCACCAATAAATGCATGTTGAAACAATGATTAAGTGAGTTAGACAGATCTGAGTTAAAATTTTGACTCTGTTTCTTGTTAGTTCTGAGAACTTCGCCAGAATTTCCTTTTTTTGGGGGGGGGGGAGTCTTAATACTTAGGAACTTTAATATTCTCTCAACTTATAAGATGGGGATAATATTAAATCAATGCATGTGTGTGTGTGTGAGAGAGAGAGAGAGACAAAGACAGAGAGAATTAAATTTGTTGATGATGGTAAATCATTTGATACATTTGATATATTTCAGATAACTTAAAAAATGTTCACTCTGGCCATTGCTAACCCCCAATACTTTCCCAAAGGCTCAGAGGAAATCCCAACCCTCTCACCCCACCCCATCTTTATCTTCCCTCACTAATTCTAGTCCTGCGTGTCCTTTCTCATTTTATAAATATCCATAGCGTTTTTACTCATGTAACGCCTTTAAAGGATAATCCAGTTACTATTTATGCATGTTTTCCCTGCCCTCTTTAATGACAGGTGTCTTGTGTTTTATCTCCTTAGTAACAACGAATAGATATTTGTTGAATGTATGCTTGAATGAATGAACTCAAATATATTTTGTATAAAGAGCTCCTTTGTTAGGATTCTAAGAAACTGCAAAGCAATGAAACTATCTGTTTTCTCCGGAAACTATTACCTGGCTATTGCCTAGCTAGATCTATAATTAGGAATGAAGTTGGGGAAATTTAGGGAGTAATTGGATCTTTTCAATCCTTCTCTCCTCCCTCCCTTCCTCTCATCTGTCCTTTCTTGCTTTCTCTTTCTTTTTTTAGTGAAAACATTCAGGTGAGCTTCTTTAAAACACGGAGGATTAAATGTGCCAAACATTTTCACTTTAGTTTTATGGGTCTACACATAGCCTGTGTCATTCATTCACTTATTTCTTCAACGAATGTTGATTAAGCTCCTACTGCGTATGCCAGACATTGAGCTAGGACTAAAACATATACTTTATTTCCAAGTTGCTTATGGTCTATTGGACATTATATCTGGATGATCCTTTGTTTTAGAAGACCCAAGGTGGCTCCGTGGTAAAGAATCTATGTGCGATGCAGACACCGCAGGCAATGTGGGTTTGATCCCTGGGTTGGGAAGATCCCCTGGAGAAGGAAATGGCAACCCACTCCAGTATTCTTGCCTGGGAAATCCCATGGACAGAGGAGCCTGGCAGGCTGCAGTCCATCCATAGGGTCTCAAAGAGTCGGACAGGATGGAGTGACTGATCACACACAAATATGTGTGAGGAGCGTATCATCAGACATATTTAGTAACCGTACATCATTATGCCTGCATCATCAAAAGATCATAATACATAACCAAAAATCAAATAACTTCATTCTCCAGCCAATAGTAATAAATATTTCCTTCTATCTAGGAGATTTTAATAATTTCATCCAATCATTTCGATTTAATAAATACTTATTTAAATTGTACTATGTGTAAGGCATTGGCCTATATGATTTTAAGTTTCTATGCACACAAGAAAGGAGATGAAAGGGAGACTTTACTGAGTGCTACTTATCAACTTGGTGATTTCACCTCATTTTCATGTGTGGGATAGACCAATACCTTCTCCTATTCGTCAGTGCCTGTGTTTTACTAGCTGTTAAATACTCACCATTCTGAATACGTTATCTCATTTAGTTCTCATATCATGCCCACAAGGAAAGGTATTTTTAGCCGTAATTTGTAATGAGGAAACAGGTTTAGAAGGCCAGCTAGCAGGCTAAAGATTCCACTGTTGGGAGGTTATGGCAACAGGGTTAAAACCAGGCTCTAGGGACTACGTATTTCAATGCCTGGCTGAAAATGTAATTTCAAAACTTTATTACCACACAGCACAGTTAATCTCCCCCCACATTACACATACTGTAGACCTTTGCTGAATGAATGAAAGTGGCTCAGAATGGGTACTGCCCAGCTGTGGGGTCTCTGGAGGTACAGGCTGGCTATGGACCAGTCACGAGTCACCATTCAACCCCAAGGTGCCACTCAGGGCTCCGTACAGAGAGCAAGACATTTTCTTCAATTTTAACTTTTACTTCAGATGCATTTCCCCGATTTTTGGAGAAATCCTGAGTACAACATATCTTGATAGTAAATGGGGAGAAGGGAGAGGTGGTGGGGGGCGCGGAATCATAACCAGGCGAGGCATAAACAAAGGCTATGAATATGCAAAAGGCCCATCCATCAAAAGTCTGAGTGTCTCATTTTTAGAAATGCGTAGAGGCAGAAATGTTTCTGGTATTTTCATTACAAAGGTTATGCAGAAAGTCAGTTCTGGAAAGGAAACAGATTGACAATAAAGCAGAAAAAGGCTATTTAAAATTCTGTCTTGATAGGCAAAGAGAGATATTTGAAATATTTTATTGGCACAGCACATGGGGTGTAAGTGTGTTGGGAAATACTGGAAACAAGCTAGACTGCCACTCTCCATTTATGGCCTCAAAAATGCTCTGCCTGGGACACTGTCAGACCCAAAAAAGAGGACAATGCCTCTTCTCTCTTTTTTAAATTCTAATGAACTTCTCTCCAGTGCTTCAGCTAATATTTACATGACAGACCTCATAGACCCATGGGCTATTTGTCTGTCCATCTGGTGTTGGCTGTCACCAGAAATCTCAAACTATCAGGTTTCAGGGAACCTCCCTCTGACTTGCTTGCAAGCTGAATTGCAGAGACGCCCCCTTTCTGACTTTCACCAGTGACATTCACACTGTAGCATTTACCTAAGTGGCCACAGCGAGGGCCTAGCTTGTCCAGTCTGTCTTCTGAGAGCTCCAGAGGCTGCATTTGCTCAGTAGACATCATCAAAGGAGAGCAGGTGTGTGGATTTCTTCTCCAGCACCACGAAGTATAGAAACAAGACCATTAGTATGTCTTCTGCTTATTCACTCACTTATTAAATAAGTATATGCAGTGAACATTTACTGCTATGCTATCAATTCAATCCTATTTTTAAGTCTGCTTTTTCTACTTAGCTAGAAGTTCTAAACTTAATATTTAAGCCAAAATAAATGAATCACACACACACAAATACACACACACACTGATTTATCAGTAATTGTCATGTATCAAATGTTCAGTATTTGCCATCTTTTAGAAGTACTGTGGGAGTTTTAGAATGAACCCTTATAAAGTCTGAGTTAGAAATGAGTTAGCTGGGAATTACAGGAAATCTTGATTAAATCTTGCCTGAATTTTCTTTTTTTTTGGTTGAGTTCTGCAAAGTAGGATTATGCCTACTTCACAGGTAAGAAAACAGGATCAGAAAATTTAACTAATGTGTTCAGTCACACATTTATTAAATAGCCACACTTGGATCTATCTCTATTTCTGCAAACTTCCACTAGCGACCTAAGACTCTTAAAATAGTGGTTCCTTTGAATCCACATTGAACAAGGTTTCTGATTTTCTACCATTACATGCTTGTAACTATGAAGTATTGAGACTACTTCCCTATTCATATTACAATTCTGGTAGGAAAATATCCAGGTCTCGAAATAGATCTTTATTATGTTCTCCCTAGAGATTTCTGACATTAGAGCAAATCTGCTTCCTCTTCCCTCTCCCCCCTGCCATTGCCCATCTTTCCTAAACCGCAAATCCATTGAATTCTCAAAGCTATTAGTTGTAGCCATTGTCAAGAGGAGTAGAAATTCAGAATGGACATATGTCAGGTCTGAATGAGGAATGCATTAGATGAGGTTTGTAGGAAATCTTCACTAGAGTCTGCCTATCTTCTATTTCTTTTGGATAATTTATTACTCATGTTCTACCATAGCAATAATGATTGGAGAGGAATACTATTTAAATGACCCAGTTTGTCCTCTTTTCTTGAGATGCTTGGATCACCGGTATGCTGAAGAATACACCCACCAATTGCATTAATATTTCAAGCTCATAGAATTAGTTCAACTCAGTTGTCTGCTGAGGAATAAGCCAATGTTCTCTGGGAAGGCTAGAGGGCTTCTCCCCCTACAAGCTGAGATCATTGTGGAGCAGATGGAGCCATTAACAGATTACTTGAGCCAGCTTTTAGTGTCATTCTGAGAAGACTGACTGCTCTGAGTGACTTCAGCAGAAATCAATTCAGACCATTGTTTTTAGTGTTTGTATGGAGACTGCCAATTCCCTGGAACCATAAGGAAGTACACTGCTAACTTGGGAGGCCCGTTCCTACCTGCTTGCATGAAGAAGAAAGCTATGGGACCATCATTCGGGATGAGGGGACTTAGGACTGAGGTCTGGAGGCAAAGGCATCAGATATGGACTGTGCACCTACTCAAATCAATCTTTCATCTCTTTGGGCAGAAATTCATGGGCCCTTTCATAGACTTTGGGCTGAAGGTCACCCCATGCAGGATCTAGTTAAAATATTTATTCTCTAGAAAAAGAAATGGAGACTCAAAGAGCTTAAAATGACTTAACAATTAATTACATACTTGAGAGTCAGAATCATCACTTGAACCCAGACCTCTTACCTTCTACTCTAGGTCCTCTCTGGGAGGAGTACCCTCTCTTCTCCAAACTATGATAAGCTGGTCTTTTCACTTGAATCATATGGCTGCTCCTATGTGCTCAATAACTGGTTATTTAATTTGAATCTGAGCTTTCAAGCCAAATAGATCTAGGTTAAATATCAGTCTTTTAACTAAAAGTTACATGACTTTGATGAAGTGACTACATCATCATGATGTCACGAGGACAGATGAAGCCCAAGTGCCATACAATCAATTCTGCCTTTCTCCCTAAAGGCTGCAGCTTCTGTGGTAGAATTTGCCAAAGTCAGCGTCTCCCTGGGGTACCCACAGACTAGTACCTGGGGATGTATGTTCCTCTCTGACTCCCATTCTTAGCCTCAGTTTTCTTATCTGTAGAACAGACTTAACAGTAACTGTTCTGTAGAGTTACTGTGATGATTAAACAGTAGCTCTGTGCTTTGAACATTGTAGGCATTGAGTTGATGGCAGTCACTGTTGCATAACATTGTCTATAACTTTCTAGATATCTGGCTGAGGAAGACCTGCCGAGGAACTGAAAAAATTCGAAAAATCATTGACTCATTTTCATCTGGATGCTGAACCGTGGGATGGCCAGCCTTCATCTGAGAAAACTGGCTCTCATAGTACTGGACTTGAGAAAGAGGAGGCTGCCCTTGGGGGGGTGAACTGCGTGAAGTTCAGAAGTCCCTGGACAAGGCAAGGCTCCCTGGTGATTAGTCACAAAACTGACGCATGATTGCTCCTCAAGACAGCACCTAGTGTCTATGGGGGAAAACATCACTATTTTAAATCAGTGTGAGTGAAAGAATGATGGTAAGCCTCTGTTTGCAGGGGTCTGAGAGATGATTTTTCACATTTGGGATTTTACATCACAAAACTACCCCCTGCTGGGCAGGGATGTGCTTTGCCCATGGTAGAATCTACTTTTATTATGGATGATGTCACTACAATCTTCTTGGCAGAAAACCTTCACGCAAAGAAAGGAACAAATACACAAAAGAGAGAGATTTGGAGTTAAGCATCGCCTTACTGAGGGTTGTCATTTTATGTGCCTGTTTAGCGCATAATAGAAGATGTTCTCCATCTCTTTATTCCCTCTGCTTTTCTACCCTCAGTGAGAAGGGGTGCTCCAGATAATTGAGCTGCTATAAATCAGGAGCTGGCCTCATTCTTAAACTAGGAAACGGCATATTTCTACTTCCTCTTCCTGACTGTGCCCATGCATTGCTCTCTTGAGTTCAGTCCCCATACCAAGCACAACAAATGGATGTTGCCTTTGTCATGCTGTCCAGGGAAGCTTTCATCATCTCCCTCAGCAGCTCCCTGTTATTTGGGAACTTTCTGAAGCATCAGCTCTTTCTTTCATACCTAAGCACCTGGTGGGCTAGGGACTGAAGAGATGTCTTAAGGGTATTTTATAAACTGTTTTCTAGTCAAAGATTTGCAATTCTTTAGCATTCTTTTCCACTTATTGGTTCAGTGTGGTCTCTGAATTTTAATACACAGTGACAACTCTAACTGCCACTGTGACTGTCAGTATCGGCCCTCCCACCTTCTTCTGAAAAGCCTGGGGCTACCTGTGTGGTGGCAATCAGGAAACTATGATTATGTAGCCCGTCCAGAGAGGTCACATTAAGTGCCACAACCACAGGCATTACTTCTGCAGGAAAAATGTGAGCATTCACGCTGAACTACAGAATCATTTATCTTTTATGTCAGATTTTGTTACAGAGTGAATTTATGTTGACTTTAACAACAAAAAAAAATTTGGTTTCTGGATCTTCTCATTAGAGAAGAAAGTCTGCCTGACTTTTCTCCTTGTTGTTTGAGAGAATGTGGTTGGATTGGTGTAGCATGTGCAAGAGACCAGGAGATGGTATTTCAGGGGCTGAAGGAGGTTTTCAGGACCCTGACCACTGAACTCTTCTAATTCCTCTTGCTAATTCTCATGTTGCTCTTCTCAGAGACACATTTGTAAATACAAATGCAACTGAGAGGAGCTACATAAACTGATGTCAATACCTAGGGGTTATTAATGACAACAGTGTCTTTCTCTTTTGAGAACAGAGACAGAAAGGTCTAGGGAACTGGGTTGCAGGGGAGGAAGTGCATGGTTGCAGGACAGGCATGCCAGAGCAGCCTGCGGAAGCCGAGGATGCCTGGAGGGACCCTAACTCCACTAGCTCAGGTGTGTGTGAACTGTCGCTCGGTTGTGTCTGACTCTTGTGACCTCATGGGCTGTAGTCTGCCAGGTTCTTCTGTCCATGGGATTCTCCAGGCAAGAATACTGGAGTGGGTTGCCATTTCCTTCTCCAGGGGGTCTTTCCCACCCAGGGATCAAGCCCACATCTCCTGCATCTCCTGTATTGGCAGGTGAATTCATTACCTCTGAGCCACCTGGGGAGCCCACTACCTCAGAGCTGATTCCTCTTTCAGGAGGACAGTCATGCTATTTCTGTAGCTAAAACAGATCGATTGAGTATGAGGTCAGAAAAGGCTCTGGGCATTTTGTCCTTAACAATGAGTGGATTCTCAGGTGGGTGTTAGAATATGTGGCTGAATTCATAGACAGAAAATCCCTCATTGACTATAGGCATTTTGTGCTGTCAGGTAATATGAGGTAGAAACAATTGCTTGGTCCTCCTCTCTAGCTGGGTGAACTTGGGAAAGTTATATGTCCTCTTGGAAACTTAGTTTCCACATCTGTGAGATGGGCAGGGTAGTGGCTCTTCTCCAGGGCTATTGAAAGTGTTAATAATACAATGTGTGTCAATCTCCCAGTATATGCTACCATTTCAAGAATGTGAGTTGCTTTCTTTGCTCTTTTAGTCTGCTTCTTGCAATTACAACATGCACCTCGAAATCGAACGGAACCATTTCCTTGTCATTTCTGGCCTTTTCTGAAGCTATGATGAGATAAGAACAATCCAAAGGAGACCATACTGTACAGCACAGGAAACTCTACTTAATGCACTGTGGTGACCTGGATAGGGAGGAAGTCCAAAAAAGGAAGGAATACATATATACGTATTGCTGACTCATTTCTCTATACAATAGAAACTAATACAACATTGTAAAACAACGATACTCCAACAAAAATTAATTTAAAAAATACACTTTCATTTTTCAAAGCAAAAAAAAAAAAGAGAGAGAGAGAGAAAGATAAAAACCAACTGAAGAACACCTGTTTCCAGGCCTTGGGAACATGTTAACACTGATTGTCAGGAACAAGCTGACACTTAGCTGAGTCATGTGATATTCTAAAGAATTTCCCTGTATTAGTCAGGCTTGGATTTACTTGACGGAATAAAAAGTTAGAAGGTATGTCCACAGCCCAATGTGATATCTGATTAACGTACCCTCTGGTTGTGTAAAAATTCATATCTTTTGTCAAACCTATTTTTAACCTGAGGACTGAATTCAGGTCAAAAACACCACATTTAAAAATCAAATTTGTTCCTTTAGAAGACCTAAATTTGCAGTATTCCTCGAGGAATGACTGTTACTCAAAGTAGGACATAGAAAGGGTTTTTGATTAGGACAGTCTCAGCTTTGGAAGATGAGCCTCTCCACACTGTTGTATGAATACACAAATATACCTGTGTTCATTGTGAAACTTCGCAATTTAATTTCTGAGGGCTCTGGTTCTTAAAGAACTCAGGACTCCACTTCTCTTGGAAAATGGCTTGTAAGTGGTAACTTTCGCAGGTCCCCATCTAGCCCTGGCTTAGTCTTGCTCCGGAAAGTCCCTTATCCCTCACACCCCCTGTACCACCAGCCGCAGCCTTCTTTGTCTTAGCAACCACAGAACAGTAGCTTATTGGAAACTTGCTTTTCTCACTGTAAATGTTCTCATAGTAAAGACCTGAAGCACTTACCAGGCAGCGCAGGAGCTGAGATGAGAAGGCAAGGGATGGGAAGGAAGCGCTTCCTCTCTGAAGCTGGGCCGGCTCCTCAGTGGCAGTGGCGGCTGCTGCCCGCCTCCAGCTCCTCTTATCAAGGGACCAGCAGCCGCTGTTGCCATGGGGATGCTCTGTTTCTCAGGCGCCAGGGCAAGGGGGATGGAGAGGGAAAGAGGACTCATCTCACAGCCACTGCTCCCAATAGTAATAATTGTCCATTGCAAAAACAATGCACAGAATAGTGCTTTGAGGACCTGGTGTGCAAGAAGTCCAGACAAATCAGCTAGGTCCTTTAATCCCCATAACAACTCTGCATGTGCATGCTCAGTCATGTCCAGCTCTTTGCGACCCCATGGACTGTAGCCTGCAAGGTTCCTCTGTCTGTGGGATTATCCAGGCAAGAATAGTAGGGTGGGTTGCCATTTCCTCCTCCAGGGGATCTTCCTGGCTCAGGGATCGAGCCCATGTCTTTTACATTGGCAGGCAGGTTCTTTAACACTGAGGCAACAACAACAATAACAACCCTATGCATAAGGATGTTTTGACCTGACTTTACAAATATGGAAGTTTAGGCACAGAGAGTTTAAGTGACTTGCCCCCAAATCCATGGACCCTCAAATCCATTTGAATTTAAATTCAGAGTACTCTTACTACCTACCTGCTGTTGCCTCTTAGGATAGTGTCATGATGAGAAGAAGAACAATAGCAATTGCTTCACATAAGGCTTCCCACTGCCAGGCACTCTAAGCATATCAATTCTTTAATCCTCATATCAACCTTGCAAGATAAGTTGCTGTCGTCATGCCCATCCTACTGATGTGAAGCCCAGGGCCCGTGTTCTCACTGCTAGTAAATGGTGAGGCTAGGGTTTGAACTAGGCATCGAATGCTAGAGTCCATGCTCTAAACCACTTTACAGTCCTGTTCACCATTGAGAGTGTTTGAGAAAGAAACAGAACATAACAAAGAACGCAGCCCTCACTGAACAGGTGGGGCGTGGAGGCAAGGCAAAATTGACCCCTCAAAAGAAACAAAACAAAAGGTCCAAGGGTAAGAAACCAAAACCAACCCAAGGGAAGCCTAAGGGCAAAAGGCAATTAAACCAAGGGGGGGCCAAGAAGGAAAAAACCCCAAAAGGAAAAGAAAAGGCCAAGGTTTCCAATAACCCAACGGAAGAAAGGCCCCCGCCGGGTGGGGGAAAAAAAAGAACAAGGGGTCAAGCTGGGAAGGCAAAAAAGGGGCAACAAAACCCGGAAAGGCCTGAAAACCCCGAAGGCAACCAAGAAGCCAACCAACAAAGGTTCCCAAAAAAAGGGGTCCCAAAAAAAAAGGCCGGGTACCTTTCAAGCAAGGTGGTTTCCTTCCCTCCCGAAGAAGCAAGGGGCAAGGGGGCCTGAAAAACCCCCTGGTGGGCCCATAAAACTGTTAGCTGCCAGTATTGAGCTAGTCAATGCGTCTTTGATATTTGCCAGCATCCCAGTCATAAAGCAAGAACCATAATAAATTCATTCTGAGGTTGGCCCCTAGAGTGAGAATTTCTTCACATGCCATGGTAATGCATCAGTAGACAGTAGGCTTCCCTGTTTGATCCAGCTTGTCTTGGCCCTTACTGGAAGCTCTAGGAGAGAGAAGAAGGCTACCAAAGAGTTATGCTCCTCGCTAGGAAAGAAGACCCCTCCCTGGATGCTGGGGAAAGTCCCTAAAAGTAGCTCTTGGTTCTGAACAGCCTGCTTTATCCTCTTACCAGCAGCCTTGTTGGCCAATAGCAGTATCTTTATCCTCTTACCAACCGCATTGTTGGCCAATGGGTTAGCAGTATCTTCATCTCCAAACCTAAATGGAAAGATTATACTTTCTTCCTATCTTTTCAACTCTTTTTTAAAATTAAACTCTTTTTTGGAGTTAATTGTAGGTTCACATGCAGTCATAAGAAATAATACAGAGCTATCTGTAAACTTTTATCAATTTCCTTCAGTGTTACTATCTTAACAAAACTGTAGTAAAATGTCTCAACCAGTGTACTGTTATGGGTACAACTGAGATACAGAACAATTTCATTATCACAAGGCTGCTTCATATTAGTCATCCCTCCCTTTCTCTTCCTCACTCTTCCTGCTCTTAACCTACTCCTTATCCATGGCAACCATTAGCCTACTTTCTATTATTTTGTCATTTCAAAAATGTTGTGCAGCTAGAACCATACTTTATGCAAATTTTTGAGTTTTTTATTTATTTTTAATTTAGCATTGTTCCTAGGGATTCATCCAAGTTATTTCATGCATTAGTAATTTATTCCTTTTTATCATTGAGTAGTATTCCATGGTATTCACCTGTTGTAAAATATCAGGAGTCTACCTGGTGTTTGTGTGTGTGTGTTAGTTGCTTAGTTGTGTCTGACTCTTGGTAACCCCACGGACTATAGCTCACCAGGCTCCTCTGTCTCAGGAATTCTCCAGGCAAGAATACTTGAGTGGGTTGCCATTCCCTTCTCCAAGGGAATGCTTGGCTATTAAAAATAAATCTATTATGAACATAGATGTACAGACTTTGGTAAGTGTTCATTTATTTGAAACAAAGCCCAAGAGTACAATTCCTAGCTCATATGGCAATTGCATGTTTCATTTTATGAGAAATGGACAAACTGTTTTCCAGAGTGGCTGCAGCATTTCATGTTTCCACCAGTCATTTATGAGTGATCCAGTACCTCCACAGGCTTGTCGGCATTTGGTGTTTGATTTTTTAAAAGTAATTCTTATAGGTATGTAACATTATGTCATCATCGTTTTATTTGCATCCCCCTACTGAGTAATGATGCTGAACCTCTTTTCATATGCTTGTTTGCTATCTTAATGTTTCTTTGGTGAAATTTGTCTTCATGTCTTTCACCCAATTTCTAATTAGGTTGTTTGATTTTTTTTTTTTTAACTGTTGAGCTTTGAAAATTCTTTATACGTTTTAGATACTAATCCTTCTGTATCAGGAATATATTTTTGCAAATGTTGCAAATGTTTTGCAAATGTTTTCTCCATCTATAGCTTGTCCTTTCAATTTTTAGCAGAGTCTATTTCAGAGCAAAAGTTTTAATTTTTACCATCACATATATCATTAGGTTAGCTATAAAGCATAAGTTGAGATGATTTCTGGGGGCCTTCAGTGAAGCTGAACAATGTTAGGAATTTTAAAACAGTCTTTTGTCCCTTAATTTCTCAAGTTCAAAGGGAATATTTTCAAAGAGAGAAGAGAGTATGAATTCTTTATTTCCCCTTTGGATAGACATGTATTTCTCCCAAGTTCAGGTTGTTGGTGGTGATGGTTTATTTTCCCCAGGGCTTTCTATGCATGCTTTAATTGATTATGCCCACCTCCCCCCTTTAAGGCAGATGTAAACAGCAACTGAGATGGCAGATGGTAATGTAAACCTATACCTCGGAGAGTTTGAAATAACAGCCACATATGTGCAGCGTTGAAGTCATGGGCCCTTGGCCTACAGTGTTCCCAGTGTAAATGCAAGGAGCCATTGTATGTGTGACATGATTTGTAGATCCAGGAGCCCTCTGATATGTGGCTGAATTGGCTTCTGGCTTCATTCCTGATGAATGCCTAATGGTAAATAGCTTTAAATGAATGTATTTTTATTTTAGTCACAAATATTCAATCTTTATGAATAAGAATGGTCACAGTGATGGACATTTTCAGACAATTTATTTCAGTCAATAACCAATAAAATGTGCACTTGAAATATTTGCCTTCCAAAATCAATCTAAGGCAGTTCTGTGTTGATGGGTGTTGGGGCTCCAGCTTTTCAATTAAGAGAAAGAGGGAAAGAGAGAGAGCACTGAATATTTGTAGGCTGGTGTTTAATCCCAGAGATCTGGCTGGGTCACTTTGGTTATCTTTTTAACCCTCAGAGAGGAGAATTACAGTTTTAGATCAATATCTTCTGGTAAATAAGTGTCTATGGGAAGCTTTGAATACAACTTTAACTCTTAATAACAGAGGATGATTTGAGATAATCTATAAGAAAATACTGATATCATTTATTCTCATCTGATTAAAATAAAAATATAGAATATATTTAAATTTCTAGAAATTGTCAAATACTTAGTACTTATTGAAATTAGAGGTAATATTATTAATCCACTTGAGAAATAATACAGAAAGATAGATTCTTTCTATATTGTTCTCAGTTTCCCCCAGGGGTGACGTATTGTAAGACTATATCACGATATCACAATCAGATACCGATATCCATACAGTTCACCTACCTTACTCCGATTTCTCCAGCTGTGTGTGTGTATTAAGTTTTACACAATTTTATCACCTGTGTAGGTTTGTGTATATACAACCACAGTTGAGGTACTGAATATATCACTGTCAGGAAGATCCCTCTTGTTCTTTTATAACCACACCCTTCTCCTTACTTCCCTCTCCTATTGTCTTTGTTCCATCATTATATTATCTCTGGCCCTCTGGTAGCCACTAATCTATTCTCTATTTCTATAATTTTGTCATTTCCAGAATGTTATATAAATGGAATCATATAGTATATAACCTTTGGTACTGGGTTTTTCCTCTAGGCATAATTCTCTGGAGATTATTCATGTTATCAATAGTTTGTGTTATTTTTTATTGCTGAGAAGTATTCTATGGTATGCATATACCCCAGCTGGAAGGCTATTTGGGCTGAATTCAGTTGCCATTTATTAGAAATAAAACTGCTATGTACATTTATGAACAGGCTTTAGTGTGAGCCTACATTTTCATTTCTCTGGGGTTAAGGCAAAGGGGTGCAATTGTTGTTCTGTATAGCAATTGAATATCTGATTTCTTAAAAACATGCAACACCTTTTATTCCAATCACCTCTCAAAACAGATTTCAGTATGATGAGAACACAATTCAGAGAACACATGGGAACAAGGTAATGCATTGTTTAATTTTCTAAAAAGTCACCAAGCCATTTTCTAGAGTGGCTGTATCTGTTTACATTCCCACTAGCAACGTCTGAGTGATCTGGTTTCTCTGCACCTTCACCAGCATTTGACATTGTCACTAGTTTTTATTTTAG